TCACCCTTCCTCTGATTCGAATTTCCCTAATAAATCGACCAACCTTTTTCTTACGGAAATGCTATCGCTCTAAAACGTAAACTAATATTTCTATTAAGGAATTTTCGTGTTCCATTTTAAATTAAATATTTTGTTACTCTATAATACTCCATTTCATATTAAAAGTAAGAGTGAAACAGCACATGGTGGGCCCCAAAAATTTAAGGAAGAGATCAACTAATATGTTTGCACAGAAGTTGGCAAAGATAGACGACGTTTAGGTATAGTAATTGCGTTTGGTAGGACAAACAATTATTTTCTGACCCACTGTGTCGCATAGATATATTATTATGAAAGGTACTATGACACAATTGAGCCTATTTAGTCCGTGGAAACGTATTTGTACACCTTAGTTGCACGTCGATTGAACGAGTTGATTTTCTGTAGATCTCATTTAGTTCTAGGCGACATTGAAAGTTCTGACCGAACAGGACCCGCATTTCTCCCAGAATTAAACATCTAAAGTCCCAAGTTGTATTACGTAGTTCTTCCTCTATTTTCTAATTGTTCTCCCGCATGTTCTGATTGTCCTGTGACTTCCCAAACGTTGTCTTTATCTTAACGAATTAGGTTTCTAGGCTTCTCAACTTGGTTTTCAAATTCTCAATTTCTGTTTTATTATGTCTTTTATCCAATTAGTTTGTCCCTTTCTGAAATGTTCCACTTGATTACACGTTTACCTTTTGCATAGCCAACGTTTGCTGATTCCGCCAGGTAGCTAGATGTTTGTGGACTTTTATATTTCCTTAAACATTGTTGGATTTACCAATATTTGCAAACTGCTCTTCGGACGTACAATAAAACCAGCACGAGCCCCGGTTGCTAGATTGTTTAACGATCCGACAGTTCTGCCATTCGAACGTTTTATTATTCGAACGGAGTATGTCTTACGAGTGCAGCATTTTCCAACGCGAATGGTAACGCCCCTGGGAGGCGCTGGAGACTTTTAAGGGGGCGTTAAAGTGACAACAAACTTTAGGAAGGCATTTCGACGCGTTTGGGGAGCATTAACACTTGTAAGTCGAACGCAATCACCGAAGAGCTTCAGTTTTATTTCATCGAATATATGAATCGCTAATTTTAAACCACCCCTGCTACACCTTTGACAAATAAATCGACGCCATATTACAACGCGACTGCACTGGCCCAACTTGCAATCTTCCTTTAAAATATTTCAGATGAAACTTTGAATAACGTTACTTTCATTGGGAATCCTATAAAATACCTACTGTTTAAAGTATTTTTATTTTTCACACTATGATTATTAACCCTTTGCGCTCCACCGATGATAAACATAATACAATACTCAATTCAAGTTTCATTTATGATAACACAAATTGAATTTAGGAAATATACGAATAAAATTTTAATTATAGCTACTTATACATTTTTGCGAGAAAGAGAATATTCTTTTATTTTTAGAAGTCACATCAAATAATTGCATTATTGCTAGTTGTTTATATTAATAAAGCCTCTCGGAATGCAAAGGGTTAAAAGATTACATTGATCAATAATGAGACATTTGTGTCTTTTCAGCCATTCGCGGAAAGATTTCATTCGTCATCTGTTAATTGTATTTTTCGATAAAGTAATTCGCTCGGTCGAATTTTCAGAATATTTGCGAATGTACGTTCGTGTCCAGTGCGAGTGTATAATACTCGTTCCGAATGGGTTAATTGCTGTAATAATTGCATAGGGATAAATGTTCCAGTTTGGTTTGAGACGTTCATAACTTCCGACCCAACTGCACCAGAACGTTTGTTAGAAGGGATAGTTTCTTGCGGTAGACGAGTACAAGAAACCACTAAATAGTTCAACAACAACTAATAATTAACAACGTGTACCAGAGAGGTTGTTGGTTGTACCACTGACTCGGTTTCTGACGGGAATTGTTAAAGTAATTCAGTCAGTGCTTGAAAGTATTAAAAATTATATGCAACTTAATTTTAACAAAAGAAGAGTTAATTTATGCATCATTATGTTTGATTAACAAAAATTTCGAGTTTATAATCTAACAAATTCCTAAGAAATTTAAGAAAAAATTCTTTGAAGCTGACTGTTACCCGTAGGTTGAAAGTTGAATAATTTTGAAGCGAGAAAAACTGTTTGTCCAGGTCGAAAAATTTGTTAATTCGGTTTCTGGGTTTGCGTATAGAATAGATGACTCGACAATAAGATTCCTGGGACAAAAAAATATTACTGTCGAGTCGTATGCACGAACTTTCGAGAAGTCGAGTGCTCGAACTACCTCCGAAGCTGCGGGACTTGGACACTTTTGCTTGGCAATTTCGAATCACGTCAAGAATATGGCTTTGAGTCACTTTGAGATTGCCTCGAGATTAAAACGAGCTTGGAAATGTTTAATGTCTTCACTGTGTTGAATGCTTTGAGGAAACTTGAGAGTCTTGGGAGGATCTGTCTCGAAAACGTTCAAACTTTCGACAAAAGCGACATTGATGGCTATCATCCTTATAACACTGAAAAATTGTATTTTGAATCTGGAGACAATATTATTAGCAATATTTTGTTTTCAAATTTCAAATCTCGAAGCAAAAACAATACAATCAATTATAACATTGAATTTTATGACAATTTTGATTCCTTGTGGATGACAAAAATTTGCAGGTAATATCAAAATATGTATAAATATATTTTTGAATTTTTATTTCAAAAAGTTTTATAATTTTATTTTGCTAAAAATATCTCGTGTTAATAGAATACTTCCTTAACTAAAGTTTGTGGAAGTTTGTCTGTAATTTTTTGTGTTTTCTAACAATTTTTAACCATTTCTCACGCCAGAACACAAACAGTTAAATGATTGCTTTTGTATTCCATTATTAACATTATCATTGATCTATCGTATAGTTATGATAGAAATTCAGAATTTAGCATACAGTAGGCTAGGAATTCCAAGATATTCAAGATATTCAAAGCATCCTCGCGATGTTCCAAGAGAATTTACTAAATTTTCAAGACTTTCGATCGCGTCACGTGTTGTGGAACGTTTTGATGCTTCTTGTGTTTCGACTCCTTGACTCAAGATGTCTTGAGATGGCTTCAATTCCACCTCTAGTGCCATTATACGGGTTACGCGGTAAAGTTTCAACGGTGATTTCTCGGGACTGTCACAGAAAAAGTTCCCTTCGTAATTCCAGGACAGCAAGGTCCCGATATTGAACCTTAAAAATCCCGAAAGTTGGCGACAGTCCTGTATACATGCGGGTGTTTTGACTTGTAAAATAATTTAAAGTTGCACACTCCGCGTAGAGTTCGTTCGAGGTGGCCAGAACTATTGTTTAACGAATCGCGTTGACCTGCTTTTCAACTTTCAAGCCGCAACACTCTCACACGTTTCATTTTAAAACATTATTACTTTCGTAATATTTATTTAGGACACCTATTTCTATTTACTTAATTTTATTTCTCTGTTACTGGAGACGAATTCGAGTCTTCAAATATTTAATTTGATTTTATTATTTATGTTGGCTGGTTGGTGAAATAATAGTTGTAGAAACAGTTTAGCTGCCGATACAAGACTGTACAGAGATGTCGACAACGTGCACAGCACTTGTATACAGCCTAGATGGCAGTAATACAGTGTCTATTGTATGATAACACAGATGTCGCGATTAATACACGAATTTCCATATTCCAACAATTTATAAGAATTTAGAATATTAAATTCTGATTATGTGCTACAAGGATTTTTTAGGTAGATATATTCATTGGTATGCATTATTTATTTTATCTTAGTACGGTCTGCTTATATTAAGTTTTTGAGCAACCTTTCGTATTCTGAGCAACTCATGCACATATTTTATGTAAATTATTCATTATTCGTATTCTTTGGTAATTCTCTTTTATACTGTCCTTCGATACGACCAGTAAAATGTTCACGTATCAGTTCTTCTTTTAAGTATAAAACCCAACATTTGGCGCTATATCGTTCGATCCTACGATGGATGTGTTTGTTTGTTCGTAAGTTGATTCAAATTACATAGAAACGATGCAGAGGCTTAGGAAACGCCTCAAATTATGTATTAATTTTATTTTAGGGGTGACACATTATATTATATTTCAAAAATGAATGAATAAAATTGTAAAAATTAAAATAAAATAATAAAATTCTACCTTTATTAAGGAAACGCCTCCGATTATATATGAATTTTATTTCAGGGATGACAAATTATATTATACTGCAAAAATAAAATAATAAAATTGTAATTTTATCAAGGGATCACCTTCAATTAGACAGAGTGTTCGGCCACCCCTAGGACAAATTTTAATGGGAGACTTTAGAGGCCAAAATAAAACGAAAATCAAAAATATCAATTTCATGACTGAGGCTTCGATAAAAAGTTATTAAAAAATTAAATTCAAACATTTCAAATCGTTCTGGAAAAATTACATTCGGTTGCGGGGGTCAATTACAATCACTTTTGGTGAATAGACATACCCCCGAAATCCTACGCACTTACGAGGAAAAAATTCTTTACTGAAAATACAATGTCTGACCATGAATGACGATTCCCCTGATATTCGACGAAATTTCAAAGTTTCCAATTACTCTGGAAAAATTATTTTCGATTGCAGGGATTAATTACAATCATTTTTGGTCAATAGACATATCCCCAAAATGCTACGAATTTTCGAGAAAAAAATTCAATACGGAGGGAACTTTACACGTTATTAACTCTTTAACGAAGCCTCCATCAACAAATTGGTATTCTTGATTTTCGTCCTATTTTGGCCTCTCGAATTTCTCATTACAATTTTTGCCAGGGGTGGCCGAACACCCTGTATATAAATTTTATTTCAGGGGTGATAAATTATATTATGTTTCAAAAATAAAATAATAAAATTGCCATCACCAGATATTAAAAAATAAAACTTTGGCCCCGTATAAAGTTTCACAGATTTCCAATTAGTATCCCAATGATAAAAACGATGGTTTTACTCACTTGCTAAGGGCAGGAGGGCAAAGAATAAAGATCAGTCGATTGTCCGGCAGACTTGAGCCGTACATGAGGCCGATGCATGAGTCGGAGCCCGGTAGACCGTACCTCTTGCAGATGCTTCTTAGATCGGTTTCTCTGTCCCGATCGCAGCAGCCGATCATAACTTCCTTCACCGAACTTAGGTCCAAAAATCCCTCTTCCAGCGTCACGGAGGAGCATTCCGACTGCTGGGTCGTGTACCTCGTTGATAAACCGGTTGGTACCGTGACCTCTGGATTGGCAGTTAGTGAAAATTCGGTGGAGGCTGTGCCGCCTATCTGAGCAGTTTTCAAGGGACTCCATGGCGGTTTTTCCCAGACGAAGGTACCGCAAGCACGATCCACCCGCGCGAATACCAAGGCCGTTCTCGTAGTGCCACCCTCGGAGTCCCAGTGTACCAAGGTTGAGCCATGATGTAACATCTGAAACATGAAACGTTCCTATTGCTAACTATTGTTCAAATCCAAACACGACCAATTTATTTGTTTACATAGGGTATAGTATAACGCGTGTCAGGTGGATTGGGGAGGATAAAAACAAAAAGGATCGGGTTTGTGTCCTCGTTCCCGAGTTATGGCCATTTTTTTACTGTTGTGATACACCAAGTTTTACAGTTCCTGACGGATAGATTTCATATTGGAAAGGTTCATAGATACTTCGAGAAACGAGCCAGAAGAAATTAATTGTTAAATGATACGAGTGTCAAAATTTATTCGACGAGTAATAGATGTTTGATTAAGAGGGAAGACACTGTTCTCTGACGAGGAAGCTTTAGTTGCCTTATCCTCTGGCTCGTCTCGTTGGACCAAGTATAGACGCAGTAATACAATAAAGCACTCGTCTCTGAAAGAGTTGAGCAAATAACGGACTCTATTCAGAAAGAAGAATCCGAGAGGAAACGTTCTTGCAATTAAATATAGTTGGGAAGAGTCATTGAGTACTTGATCTTCCATGATTCGAAAAAAAGGCTCGATCCGGGACAGAATGGTGTCGCGATCCACGGATCACGAGATTGTATTTCACACGCCTCTCAGCTACGGGGAACAACAATTACTGTAGTAATATAATAAGAGTCTCATCCCTGGAGGAGCTGATCAAATAGTAGTCTCTATCGGAAAGAAAAATTCAAAAGAAAACGTCTTTACAATCACGTGTGTATACTTGGGCGTGTATACGTGTGGTATTTGGGTAGTTCCAGAATCTGTTTTTCTATGATTTGTTTGTTCTGAGTTTGACACTAAATTTACATTACAAGGCTTCAGATTATACTTAAAGTTACAGAAATTATAAATATTTTATTTATTATTGTCGACTATGATTGATGCATTTTAACGTACCCAACAATATATCGAGTCTTAATAATTCCTGGCAAAGTAGTGGATCAAAACAAATTTTATTCCCAACCAGCAAATAGAAATTTTACATCGATTCATAAACGTTCGTAAAATTCACCCATAAATTAGAGCCTGTTAAAAAATTTTTTAAGCTAGTTTTCGAGTGAATCTACCATTTTTATTCGTTGTTCGAGGGTGAAGGCCACCCCTACGGTGGAGCCAGGGCGTACAATCAATGTTTGTGATTTATATACCGGGAGATTACGTGTTAACGGCTTCGAAAATCGCAGGGTGACTGCGTAGAACTACTCTAAACGCAGTAATAAAGGTCATGGACCGTAAGTGTCGCGAAATCTGTTCCGTAACTGTCGCGGTAGTTATCTCCGCCGCTTCCAGGAATTGCTGTCGTATCCAGGCGTTATCATCGACACACGAGCTGCAGTCTCAGGTTACTAATGAGCCACCCCAGCAGGCGAGTAGCGCTTGTACCATAATTCTTTCCTTCTCGCGCTTTGTTTCATTTAGCGACGTCCTTGCGTGCTCCTCGCGGGGTTCAGTAGCTCGGCAGAAACGTGTAATTGTGTGTAGCTGTCATTACGAGGGCGTGTAAAGCTATGTAATCTCGAAGTGAACTCGTCTTGTTGTTGGATCCTTGCTCGCAGTGTAGGAGAAACCGTTTTCCTACGTGGAAAAGTGCGCGAGCGAAGGAAACAAAATGAGAGGAACGGATAGATGCCAGCCCTAGCACGTGCAATATCGTCTGAAAGAGCCCTTTTGCTCTCTAGAGACAATGATTCTTTCGCACGAACACGCGAAGGAACCTTCGAAACTTCTTCTGGGAAGTTGACCCCTTTGTAAACCCTAAAATACTGATAGCGAAACTCTCCCGGTGGACATCGGGCATTATGTCACTTGTTTCTTACTAGTTTTCACTGTTTTGCACTCCTTTCTGTGGTGTAAACAGTTCGAACGTGAATGGGGATTTAAGCGCGATCAAATTTTAGTCCCTTTTGCCTATAATTTACTGTATTCGTTTGTTTAGCTACTGTTTAGATTGTGGAATTTATAGGTGGGGTAGGTTTTTAAGATATAATTGGTTGGTATTTTTGTTTTATTAACATCCACTTTGAAAGGGTGAAAATTGCCACCTAAATTGGGTATCTCTTTTAAATCTTCTCACGTGATTAGGTTCTTTATTAAATAAATATAACATATTCGAGAATATGTTTTCAAAGTGGATTCCAATCGATAAAAAAATAGGTGTCCAATATTTGTTCAAGAACTTATAAATTTTATCAAAATTGACGCGTGCTAGTTCGAAATATTTCCTTGTTAGTCTCAAACATCAGTCATCTTGTCACAGACATTTTGATAGAGAGTTTCAAAAATTTTAAATATCTACTTCGTTGACAAAGTTATTATAGATGGTGGTGTTTTAATATTGGTAATGAATTTTGGTCAAAAAATTGTATTTAAACGATGAAAATAAATATATAGTGCATTTAACACTAGAATTACAGACAATTATATTTATTTCTACAAAAAGAAATTCAAACGTCAGATACGCGAAGAAGTGTATATTCAATGGAAATAAGTGTTTATTTATTTCCCTATAGAAAATTACGATTTCAATAATTTAGTTAAGTTTTTCGGGTTCTATTAGAGATTACCAATGGGGCATTTCGACTGGTTTGATGGTTCCAGTGTTAATCTTGCAGATGTAAATCTTGTAGAAGCTATTTGTCAGGAATTGTTCTTGTGTGAACTCTAGCTATTAGGCTAAAATGTGGCGGTGCTCCTTCATGCATAAGCCACATGCGACTTACGACATCAAGTGGGACTTCTCCCTGTGCCATCCAAGAGATTAATCAAGAAATTGACGTAAGATTAACCTGTTAATCCGCTATTAAGAGCAACGGTATCGATTGGATCGCTAATTATTCAGGCTCATTTACACTGAATCGTTGTTGGAACTTTGATTTAACAATAGCATGTGCATTCCTTTATTTCAAACATACATTGTCTTATCATAAGTTCTAATTTCTTGCTTCATGCAGTATCGAACGTGTATCTGCTATTTAAATTATCTTTCAATAGTAAATTTTAATTCCGTATATTTTTGTGACAAAATATCATTGACAATGAATAGGAAAAATGATAAAATTCAAAATATCAATAATATACAGAAATTGTATTTTATATATGAATATAAATTTTTTTATGTTCAAATAAAATTTTTAATTTTATTATTGCTGTCGTTAGCGAATATGAAAAGTGCGAAGACTGGTGGAAAAATTATTTTTGTAGAAATCACTGTTCGGAGGAAAACCGACCTCATAAACGAAATGAGTATCTATTATGGTCTTGTAATACGTCGGAACATTAGCTCCATTGAAAACATGGACAAAGAAGCCTGGGCAACTTTATACCACAAAGCTTCGAGCGATAAAAACCTCGAACCACAATTGTCCAAAGTGTTCAGACTCGTGGTGTATGTGGCATCGTGTAAAAGCTACTGGCGCATTAAGTGAATACATATATAAAACATTATTTTACAAAAAGAACTAATGAAACCGATTTATGAACATTTTTCCAAGAATTACTTGCATGATTCCTTTCAAAACACAATTCGCTCCTAAAAGTACGTGCAATGGGCTTATTATTATAAAAACGACAGAGTCTCTATCATTATTTTTAATATAATACGTCGCTTAACGAAACAAAAATTCTTTCGAAACAGACGAAATTCACAGTTTGACTCTCTCGAAGATTAAATTGAATATGAATATTTCAAATATGTCTAATATTTCTTTTCCCACGTTTCTCAAGCTGACAGAAACTTCTTGAGATCAGATTTATTTTAAGGCGTTTCACGTAACTAATAATAATGTCTTTCACAAATTAAAATTTATTAATGAAATTTGTTAGATTTTTAGTTTAATATAAAATTTCAAATACCTAACTTGAAACAAAATTTATGAAGTATACCTTATTTTTTAATCCATCTTCACTTTTATTTCTTTATAGTATCCTAATAATTCTAACAGAACTTATAGCAAAACTAAATTCGAGAATTTTTATGTCATTAGTCTAGATAGATAATCTAGATAGATAAAAGAATAATACTACATTCGGTAAGAAATATGGTAGACAAAATTAATATAATAAAATTTTTAAATATAAAAATTCATCAAACTCTGTTCCCAAAAAGTAATTATATTAGTATTAATTATGTTTAGCGTTAAACTGGCTATTGAATGTTACCATCGCATTTCCTATTTCTAACGAATCTCGAACATAATTAAATAGACATCACACTCGACGTAATTAACAGATATCGATAGAAACGTGTCTCGATAAAACGAACCGTACGTATTACGATTTATCGCACGATAACTCTTTGATACGACTTTTTGGACGAAATTCGTAACGTATGTGAGTTCCTTGCGCAAGCAGAGGTACGAGGCAATCGTTCGAAATGAAAGTATGGCGCTGCCATAAAACTTGGTGTACCAGTCCAATGAACAGCCGATTGGACCGTGCATGTTTATTTAACGACTACCAGGAACGATCTGCTTCATTTGAATGTAATTTAAATGTAATTTTGTATAGGTTTGAAACATTTGTCACGCACAGAAACGACACACAGAAATACATGATTCTAATTTATACAACATTCTACCGCAAATCACAATATAAAAATATTTTCTGCATCACATATTTGTGAATAACAATGCTCATAAGTAACATACAGAGAATAAGAATTACCTTAAGATTTTGGTTATTCTTTAAAATATTTTTCAAGTCGAGAATTTGTATACAAAATATAATACATCGTATCGTAACATTGTTTGAATATTAATTTTCGATGCAATTTAATTTCTCAAAAGTTGTGTATTCGTAATGCTCGAAAATAACATACAGGGAATAAGAATTACCTTAAGATTTTGGTTGCACTTTAAAATATTTTTCAAGTCGAAAAATTTTGTACAAAATATAATACATCGTATCGTAACATTGTTTGAATATTAATTTTCGATGGAATTCGATTTCTCAAACGTTGTGTATTCGATCCTTTTATTCCTCCG